AGTCTCCGTGGGGCAACGGTAGCCGGAGAGTTTCGCTCCCGCGAAAGGGGCGAAAATCGGCTTTCGCTGCCAGCCTATGCACTGCAGGTTGGGTGGAAAGAGGGAGAGACGCCCCTTGGAGCTCCCGGTCTGGGGGCGAATCGGTGTCCTTTGTTTGACAGGCTGAAGTGCCCCAATTCGCTGCTGGAACCTGGCGCTTTGGGGAGTGGGATGCCCTGCCCAGCTTGCCCCCTCCAACCCACCGCCCTGGCGGCGATGCTGTGACTTTTCTGACAGTCGTAGCTTCTCTAGGTGGGAGGACCAGAAATCCGAAATAATCCTCAAAATTGCAACATGGCAATTCTCAGTACTTTAAATATGTATTGGCAATATATTATCAAGCAAAAAGAGATTTTTTTTTTTTCTTCAGTGGCAATTCAGGTGTGGACAGCCCTCCTTAAGAGGTTTGCCTGGCTGCAGATATTTTCTGGACCAGATCAAATCATTTTTGTCTGTTTTATTGCCGTAGTTGTACTTGGATAGAATTAGCTGGGCACCGCCCAAGAAGAGCATAAGGAGAAAAGGCAATACAGAATTTAATAAATAAATAAAGGTCATTCTGGATTTCTTTGCATTGATTGTGGGTATTAGGTAATCAGTAGTTTCTTCCCGGCATGTGTGCATGGTGTGAAAACAACACACGAGAAGTGTGTATGTCACAGATGGCTGTCAGTGTTACATATGTAGTGTTTAATGCTGAAAGGGTTTCCCCTGGAATTTATTAATGTGCAAAGAGGTCCTACAAAAGTAGATTATTACAATATATAGCTGGTTATTGTTCATGCCCAGGTGTTAATTGACAGTAGGAACAGATGTTGAAGATGTTTTGAACATCTGATTTGCTCTTTTCTCAAGCCAGTTGACCTGGATATTTTTGCTGTATTTTGCTCCATTAAGATACAGCCTCTTCTAGAGTCACCTAACCATTGATGAGCAGCAGGAAAGGTAGGTTTTATTTGGATTTTGGCAATGGCTGGGTGGCTTGGAAGATGTTGGCCATAGTGTGATAATGTACTAATATTGCAATGTAGGATGGCAGTTTTAGTTGGGAATCCACCAAAGATTATCTGGTACATTGTTAAATCAAAGAACTTGCGTGGTGATGGTGGTGATGGGTACCCATTTAGATGGTTTTCAGGCAACTGGACAGATTCATGGAGGATCACTGTCCATGGCTGCTGGTCTTAAAATGTCTGCTGCTACAGCTGGAAGGACAGATAGCATGATTTGAATAGAGCTGGAATTCCTGGAGAAGAAGGCCACTGCTGTTCTACAGGCATCTTCTTGGCCAGAAGGCTGGATCAGATGGGTCTTTGGCTTAGTCCAGCAGGGCCCTTCTTGGGCTTCAGTTACTTCCCTGAGTAACTGCTGAGTATTGCCAGGCTGGAAGTTTCATTTGCTCTCCTGTTAGTTGTATGCCGGATGGCGTTTGATGATGAGATCAGTGGTATCAGAACTGTATCCTGGGCTAAAATTTCGCTTTTTGACACACACACCCCTTTTTTTTTTTTGGGTCAAGAACTTGGAATCAGGAAATTTGAATTGACATCAGGGGTAGAACAAAATTTGACAGGGTGACTGCTGTGGCGGTTCATCTCTGAATACACCCCTTAAAAGGAAGCTTATATTTTATTTTTCAATGCTGAACTGCCAGCTAAGGAGTCATGGATGCCATGAAAAGTTGAGTTGTCTCTTCCTGCTGCAGGTGGGACTTTATAGTTGGCTAGAAGGGAGCCGTTTAAGAATTATATCCTGGCAAAGGTCCTATATATTCTTCTGCAACAGATTAATTTTATTTTCAGGGGTCCAAGAAACAGTCAGTTGCATCCCACTTGTCTTCAAATATTATTTATTCCTTTATGCTTATATTCTGGCATGAATGTTTTTCCTTCTAGTCTTATGACAGATCTCTTAACAAAGCTTCTTTATGTGAAGTTTTCTTGCTGAAGTAGTTTTTCCTTGAAACAAGAGGCCTGACAGACCTCAGCTAACCCCATTTTTCCAAGGGCCCAGAGGTCCATGGAGAGGGGAGCTAAAGCTAGACTGGACACGGATGGCGCCCACTTGGTAATGTGTGGTCTAATGATGATTTCTGTGTGGAGTCAGTTGAGAAGCATGTGCAAACACAGAACTCACTCTGGCCTCACTATTGTTAAATAATCTGGGTTACCACTACCCATTCTGTTTTCAAATCATGAGAGGATTACAGAAACAATTTTCCTTTTTATAGAAGTAGTTTTACTTTCAGGGGATTTTTTGCCCACAAAGTGAAAGAAGCCTTTTGTCTTTTTAAGTTTCTATAGTATATCGATGATAATGCCCAGAGATGTCTGGAGTTGGACTGCAACCATTTCCATATTGATTGTATTGTGAACACATTTGCATCCGCATCTGCAACCATTTCCATATTGATTGTATTGTGAACACATTTTACTTCACAGTCTGAAATAAAATATTGCAGCATCATTCAGGGTGTGTGTGTGTGTGTGTGTGTGTGTGTGTATTTCCATTTTGTTTTTTGCCCTTTTTCTCCTATGTCAGCTGAAAAGTACTTTAGCACTAAAATGCTTTCATTGTATTTAATCTTCAATTATTTATGTACTTTTTTTGCTTTATAAAATTTTTAAATATGTCTAACAAGCTTGTGAGGAAAACTGCTCATTTGATTGGCTTGAATTTCTTCCAAGTAACTATGGTAAAGAGAAAAGCATTTGACAAAGTGGAATACTTGAATATTTTTCTTTATAGATATCTGATATGACAGGAGTTGTGGTATTTGATCTAAGAAATATTTATCAGCCTCCAACGATGGGACTACTCATGAGTAAGTCCCATGGAAATTGCAGTCTTGTGCCACACATCTAGCTAGTTTGGTTATCAAAGTAAAGGATAACGCCCGCCTTACAAAATAGATACATTCCCCCCTCAAAGCTGATGCATTTGTTTTGGTCTCTGGCCATTCATGCTGGTTTAAGCATTCTGCTACAAAACAGTACAAGGAACTCAGCCGAATGCTTGCATTAGTATAATGGCCATGAAATGCCCTTGATCCTGAAGAATTAGAGGGATGGTATAGGAAAGCAAAACTCTGTTTTATTCTGTAACGCTGTCTAGCACTTCCTTTGCTGTTGTATTGTTGCTAGAGATGGACTGGCTGCGTTTTCCCATGCACATCAGAATTTTAAGTAATGCCTTTTTTCCCCTCCCCCTTAGCCTCTTCTGAAACCATCACCTTGGAGCAATCTTCAGAGTGGTGGATGGAGCCCAGGAAATATATCCTGGGGAGGCCTACACGGTCGAGACCATCGTAGAAATGGAAATATGGGAATACCAGGGACAGTGAACCAAGTCTCTCCCTTAAAGAAGCCATTTTCTGGTAATGTCATCGCACCCCCTAAATTTTCTCGTTCTGCTTCATCCTTGACTCCAAAACCATGGACTGGGGATAATGTTTTCAGAACAGACAACAACAGTAACCCACTTTTGCCCTTACAGGTAAGCATGGTATCAATCTACAACTTTGAATCCTATTTTAAATGAGCAAAATAGCTGGGTTTTTTTCCTCATTGAAATTACTTTGCATAAGGTAACTTAATTACTTTGCATGGGTTTAGATTTAAATTAAATTAAAAAAAAATTTCCTCAGTCACTAAAGTTAAAGACTAAAAAGTCTGCAGCCTGCTGAAGTTATGTGTTGCTCTCCAGGTCCCCTTGTATCAGTGCTGTTATTGCTAGAATTGGGGTGGGAAAGGAGGTGCACCACAATGTGCAGATTTTTTCATACTTCAGATTTCTCAGCACTTGAGATAGCTTGCTGAACAGACTGTCCAGAGTTTAATTTAAAGGCAAAGAAGGAATATAAGGAGAGTGTGCCCCATTCTTCTTGGAATTGCTCCTCTCCAATAGATTGGTTAAGAGCACAGCAAGCTGAGAAAGAAAGGAAGTATGACTATGGATGAATGAATGTGCACAGACATAACTTCCGCTTCACCCTCTCTGTGCCTCCTCATTTGATTAAAATAATATCAAATGATAATTCAAATCACCATGCAGGCAAATTCTGCATATGGATGGTATTCCCAGTCAAAGCATTGCATCAGCCTGTTCTTCACTTATATACAGTGGGGCAAAAAAGTATTTAGTCAGCCACCAATTGTGCAAGTTCTCCCACTTAAAAAGATGAGAGAGGCCTGTAATTTTCATCATAGGTATACCTCAACTATATCGCTATTGTGGATGTGGTATTGAAAAATACCTTTTTCCAGCATAATTTCATCCTGTTATTTATGAGGCCTGTAATTTTCATCATAGGTATACCTCAACTATATCGCTATTGTGGATGTGGTATTGAAAAATACCTTTTTCCAGCATAATTTCATCCTGTTATTTATGAGGCCTGTAATTTTCATCATAGGTATACCTCAACTATATCGCTATTGTGGATGTGGTATTGAAAAATACCTTTTTCCAGCATAATTTCATCCTGTTATTTATGAGGCCTGTAATTTTCATCATAGGTATACCTCAACTATATCGCTATTGTGGATGTGGTATTGAAAAATACCTTTTTCCAGCATAATTTCATCCTGTTATTTATGAGGCCTGTAATTTTCATCATAGGTATACCTCAACTATATCGCTATTGTGGATGTGGTATTGAAAAATACCTTTTTCCAGCATAATTTCATCCTGTTATTTATGAGGCCTGTAATTTTCATCATAGGTATACCTCAACTATACCACAGAGCTGTTGAAGGACACCAGAAACATAGTTGAGGTATACCTATGATGAAAATTACAGGCCTCTCTCATCTTTTTAAGTGGGAGAACTTGCACAATTGGTGGCTGACTAAATACTTTTTTGCCCCACTGTATATCGCTATTGTGGATGTGGTATTGAAAAATACCTTTTTCCAGCATAATTTCATCCTGTTATTTATTTCATTAAGAAATACATTCTAGCTTTCCTTTTTCATTTCCCTTCTTCCATTTTGCAGTGCTGAAATGGATCAGCTTGAGAGATACTAAAACATCTTTTGAATTTAGAGCTGGTGGATTGTCAGTTCCAAGACTGAAAATGTTCCTTATTTCTATAAATGAGGCAGTACAAACACATTGATGCTCTGAGGGTAGTATATATTGCAGCCGAGACTAGAATTAAGGAACATTAAAGGGATTTCCGTTCACGCAAATGTATTTTCATGCATTTCACATGAAGACATCAAATAGAAATTGTAATGGAGCCTCCAGGAAGTAGGGCCAGTGGTCAGGTGTGTAGTCCAGCCTGAAAAAAATCTTTCTGTGATATCACTCCAAAAATTAAGGATATTATGTTGAAGCAAAGAAGAATTTTATGGTATCTTTGGATCAAAGATGGAAGAAAGAAGGTTTTATGTGACTTCAGTTCTGCCACAAGCATATTGTTGTCCTCTGTATTAATTGACAACATTCATGCACAGGAGCAGAAATGCTATAGAAAATAATGCCATTAATCTATTTTGTTACTACCTCAGATTGTGGAACTCATGATTAAGTATACTTTTTAAAAATAAAAACAGTTAAAAGCTTACAGAGTTCCCCCAGTTTCTCAGATGAGAATGCCAAATGTCACGTGATAGCGGGAGAGCTTTTGGGGATGAAATGACTGAAATCTTAAGAAAATCAGCACCTTTGATATGTCAGCCATTTTTAAAGTTGCAGTGCACCAGCATCTCATCCTCAGTGATGGGCCTCTTGCAAACCATGTGGATTTTAGGAATGCTTAAAATGTTATTGCTCACTTTTTTTTTTCCAAGAGTGTGGAAATTTGATTGGCACAGAAATGTTATATGGATGGCTGAAAGAGAGGACTGTGTCCCTATGCAAAATTTGGGGGCTTTTAAGAATGTTGGTAGTGTTTCCATTTCATGGTTTGTATTGTTTGCTGCTTTCTCACTGCAGGTTGAAATACAATCTCTGTATTTGGAAAATAATCTTTTTTAAATAGATTTTTGATCAGTGGGACTATATTGGGTGTGTTGTGGAATTTCAGCATCAGAAATTGGACAACTGATTAGATTATTATTGCTGTTGAAAGCAAATGCATTTCTGGGCACCGAAAAGACAACATTTTACTACTATGAAAACTTTGATTTTGTTCCTTCTGCTACTTAGTTTTATGGTGTATGAAGTGTGGCTTTATGAAATGTATTAATACAAGATAACTTCCCATCTCATATTTATAGTATTTTATACAGATTTTAAAATTTATTTAATAGAAATTTAAAGGAACAATATTATCACAGCTGCTACTGTGCTATAAGCCCTGTGCTCTGTACTGTTAACTATAAAACTTATGATAAAATACTACTGTGAGTGATGCTTGAAAATATTACCCAGAAATTAAAATATCCTAAGCTCAAATATATGCCTTTTCTAGTGATATTTATATATTTCTATATTATTTTGCTCATATGCTCTGAATTCCCAGAGAGTCTGGGTGTCAACGTAAAATAAAAATAAAATTATCCCCAAACCTCAAGTATATACAAAGATGTCAAAAGAAAAAAAAGAAAGAAACCAGAAAATGCAAATGTCATATACAGGTGACTCCCCACCCCCTTCAATTACAACACACCTTCCTCCTGAGCAAGACAGAACAGGTAAGTTTTCATCGTCTTCCAAAAGCCCAAGAGGGGTGAAGCTGATGCAGTCTTTGCTGGGAGGGGTTCTAAAGACAAAGGGGGCAGCTACTGGAAACACCCACTTCCAAGGTCCCATTAGGTGGCAGTCTTGTAGGAGCAAAATATGGAGGGAGTTAATCCTCTTTGATCTGGTTGGCTAGGCAGAGGAATATGGGAGATGGCAGTCCCTTACATCAGCGTTTCCCACCCTCAGCAATTTTTAAGATGTATGGACTTCAACTTTCAGAATTCCCTAGCCAGCCATACTTGGCTGGGAAATCCTGAGAGTTGAAGTCCACACATCTTAAAGTTGCTGAGGTTGAGAAACACTGATTTAGATGACCTTAGATGCCTTAGCTAACCAGGTCTGGAGCCGGGCCTTAAAGGGTCAGCAACACTTTGAATCACATCTAGAAACCAACTGGCAATCAATTTTTTTTTTTTTTGTGCTATTTTAGAGTTTCTGAAACTTTCCTAAAAAAGGAAAGTTGGAGATGGGTCTGCAAAGTCCAAAGTAGTTGGGTCAAGCAAAAGCTATGAGGTTGGGCATACCACATCCTCCTTCCAAGGTGAAGAAATATCCCACATTGATTACTGCTCAGATCTAACCTCCTCCTATATCATGGCCTGGGGCCTTAACCAGCCATGAGTAGTAGGGATCTAACTGTGAAGGGGTGAAACTAACACTTCAGAGGGGCCCTGTCCACTTCCTTGAGACTTGCAGACCCAAAACTATGCCAGATCACTGACGGGCTCACTGTCCTCCTTTGACGCTCTCCAGTTGGAGTCCAGCTCTCTCGATCCTGGGCAGTTTTGTCTGCCAAATGTTGAGAGAATTCTTCAAATCCGCATTGAATAAACCCACAATTGAGTTAATAAAATGCTAATGTATAACAGTCTTTGCAGGAGCTCATATGCTTTTTATGAAACATATTCTGTTTACTTTTCTTAAGGTCAAATTACACATGAAGCAGGGAGTCTGTGGCTGGATTTCCTGAATTTTTTAAAAGCTTATGTTTGGTAAAAACAGAAGAGGAATTTATTTGGGCAAAGGGACCAGTTAAGCTGCTATACCTATTCCCCAGTGCAAATCATGAAGACGGGCAGCTGCTGCTTCCTTGAAGGAGAAAATAGAAACATAAGTTATGCTTAAATGTTTCTTCTTGGTTAATAGCAGTGCAGATATGTGAGCCTAAACCTGTCCCCCAGCCTTTCATATTTGATATGGAAGTCTATTATAATAAGAGAATCTTAGATGCATTGCACAGGGTTTGGTGATGATACTCAAAAAGGTCACTGTTAAGTATGTGCTTAGCTATTACCTAATAAAGGACAAGAGTCAGCCTATTAAAATTAGTGGATGGCCTGCATAACACCAACCAGAGTCACGGTAGTGAGATGGGCAGCTACAGAGAAATACATACATACATACAATCTGCCCATATTACAGTCACAAGAAAGGATGTAGTGAGTGCAGTGTGAAATGGAGGAACCTGGAATTGCAGGAAGATTTGGTTTGGGTAAATGCAATAATATAAGAGATACTCTATTAGAGTTTTGTGAAAAATATTACAGTGGTACCTCGAGTTACGAACGCCTCTGCTTACGAATTTTTCGTGTTATGACCAGCTCCGGCCCCAAA